ATATATATATATATTCTTGGAACTCCTTGTGATGCACTACCTAACTACAGCACAAAACTTTCCTATGAGTTCTTTCTTGAAGCACTTTTCACCAATGTAATTGGATTGTGCATGGATGGTATGATGAATTTGATCTCCAGAGAAGTATCTACCATATTTAAATTACAAGAATTTGGGTCCATGAGAGTGATGAGGTTAACAAGGCATAATAAGATTGGATTTCATCATGTTAAAGCATGATCCTGAGAATATATGCCATCAAAATGCCTTCTTGTGGCCATGAGAGTGATAGGAGAACAAAAAAGTAACAGTGACTTCTCATGAGAAGAGCAGAAACAATAGCCAGCTTGGCTGCTTCCATCAGAGTTGGACCCAAATCCAACTCCTTAGCTGCCATCTCTCTCTCTGATTGTAGTAGGTCCTCTGCAGGCAGGGCTTGAACTACCCTCTTGGATCATAGTGGATTGATTCTATGCTTCCAGGACAAGGGAGCAATGTGCTGGTAGTATACATGTACACTGCACCTCCTGACAGCTGTTCATCTGATACCTCAGACAGGACATCCATCCAACTGACAAGAGTGAGGGTGAAGAGAACACTTGCTCGCAAGGTTTTGGAACTTACTACGGATTAAGCCATCTTGTGATATGAATGTAATGATCTTTTCCAGCTCCAAGTACTTGTTTTGATTTGTGGTTTCTGCTTTGAGTGATACAGAGGAGTCCCAGTTGCTCGGAACCGATGCTGTGCCATCAAGCTGTTTGCTTTTCTGTGGCAGACAAGAGGATGTGTTTATGCTTCAGTCTGTGTCCTTGTGGTGTCCATGGCCCTCACCTATATTGGAAGGATGCAGATGAAGCTATGTTGTGGGATACTGCCAAGCTTTGAAGGAAACTGGGGATGTCCTCCCACAGTTTTGCTGAAACAGACATTGTGATTAGAGGTAACATCCTGTTGCTTAAATGGTAAACTTCAATCTCAAAGATTATTCTACAGATCATACAACAGCAGCAGTCAAGGCCATGTCAATCAAAATTTTATATATTGACTTCATCTGGTCTTCATTCTAACATTAATTAACAAGTATATTATAGCTATTGTTGCTGATAGCTAGCTAGTTGATCATGGTAAAGCATAAGGTATCATTGATGAGGCTGAACATATTCGAGTATATCCACTTGACAAAGTTCGATGCAACTTCTTTAAGAGGGTTAGCAAATCGGATTTAGCAAGATAGACAGAAACAAAAAGTATTTCATGGTTGAAGCAGGTGGGATGAACAATCCTGTCCTAGGACCAGAATTCAAGCATCAAGGATTTAATCTGCATTTATTTTTTGGCAGGTCACAAGTTGCCATCCACAAGCTCTGTTGACGAAAGAGAAAGATGTTAAATCAATCTGTTCGTGATTCATTATCAGTGTCAGCTGTTTGCCATCCAAGTCAACTTGATATAGGACTCAGAACTGGGTTGAACTTCACATCAGTGTTGCTAACTTCTTTTGGGGTTCTCACTATATATATGTATATAGTCAGAAAAGACTAAAATCTTTTCATTTTTCTGACCTAAACTTTAATCTCAGGAAACTCAGCATGATGTCTCAATCAATCACTGTTTAATGTGTCATCACCTTCACTCCAATAAAACTAAAATTCATCTGCAAAACATGTCTTTAACACTGCATTCCAGATATTTATGTGGCCTACTACCTTCGGTTGTTTGTATACCTAGGTGTGCAGAATTTATTTGGCTGGAAAGGATCCAAAGTTCTTCAAAATAGAGCCTAGACTTCATTGGATACAGACCGAAAAAGGAGTTTCAAGATAAGTGGAAAATAATATGAAATATATGTTAGAAATCTTGAAACTTTAGATTCCTACTTCTTCATGCCAAGCTGTATTGTGATTGTGATTGTGTATAATTCTAACAATTCCTAATTATCTAGCTTTTTCAGCATGATTAAGGAGAAGAGCATATTATATGCTCCAGATAATGCATGTCACATGATGAATTCTACACTGATAGTCTCAAAGATAACCAATAATTCACTCACAATTTGCAATGTTCAGTGGATAGAGTTTTTCTCATGTTGTCATACAATTTAATCCAAAATGCTCATGTTCATGTCCCTAGGTCTAATTGGTAATTTGTGGCTTCTGAAACAAAAAGAACATTTTTGTTAAGCAAAGTAAAGGTGGAAGAAACCACTTTAATTGTTCTGAAAAGTATAAATCAGAAACCCAAAAGCCACTACTCACTGCAGAGACAAAAAAAAAAAAAAGTTGATATGTTCTTTGTTATCTGCTCCAGCTTTCTCAGATTGTTGTCCTTTTTACAATGACAACAAAGAAACAGTTGATATGTTCTTTATTATCTGCTCCAGCTTTCTCAGATTGTTGCCTTTTTTACAAGATGTGTCTTGGTGTTAGCTTTGTTAACCTAATGGCAATGGACAGGCAACCATGGATGGTAGAAGCAGGAAAAATGCTGATGCTGAACCACTTTGAGCATCTCCACTGATGAACAAGCAGATCTCAGCCCATATACAAGCATTTCACCTCCAGCCAACACAGGTCACAGTGCCAATGTTGTTTAATCCAAAGGATGTCGTGTTCTTTACCTTCAATGTCTTGCAACCTTACAGTTCATGCAGTGATCATGTCCATACTCATGACCTTCATGTTCACTGTCATCATCATGCATTACTCCTATTTCTTTTCCCATTGACATGGGATGGACTCCAAAGCACAGTTAAAGAACAAGGAAGTTTCACTGATGATTGAACAACTTTATTTACAACTAGCCATCAGTCTGGCATCATTCAGTTTGATGCCAAATATGTATTCTAACAGAGATTGGATTGGCAAGGTAGAAACTTGCAGAAGAATCTAAAATGCTAATTCATGGACATACAGATGATCTATGCTACTGCCTACATTGTCCCTTGTGTTTCCAAACAGATATGTTCCATGATTTCCCTTGTATCTGATATGGAAGATGACAAAAGAAGACAACATATCAATATGGTTTCAAACAAAATTCAAGCAGAAGCTTACCAGTGAGAGATTACACCAAAGCAGATTAAATGAGAAGATACTTGGATTGGACACACTCATTGCTGACCCCTTGCTAAAATGGAACAAACTTCATGAAATCTATATTCTGACTGACACAACCCTTGAGATTTTTAAGCATTCATACTGATTCAAGAATGTGAAGGAGTTTGATAGCAAGCCTTTTTCTACTATGGAATTTTCATATATATAGATATCTAAACTGAGCACAATGTATAAAGACTGTTCATTTCTTATTCTGTACATGATTGTGTGTCTCTGTGAAAGGATGATTCAATGAATGCTCTGTGGATTTGGTTTAGAAGAATGTGATGCCAAACCATGCATGCATCTGGGTGTTCATATCCACTCAGATGCAATAGGTGATATGCTCTTAGACATACATGTTCTTGGACATTGATTGGGGAGGCAAGTGGGCTTTCTCTGCGACTTCAATACATGCAATTCTAAGTAACCTAATGTAATCCCCATTCCAGTCCAATTGAAGCATAAAATTTAGTTATTGGTGAGATCATACCAATTATCATCAACTTTCTGGAACTTGGCTCCATAAGATAATGTTGGAGTTGGTAGGGGTAACTATAGTTAATTCAATCTTCAGTTGTTTGAATCTAATGAGTGTAGCTGATCCTGTAACATAAAATTAGATAAAGAGGTTTCTACACTTGGTTGGTGGCAAACTGTTCAGGATTCACAACTGAACAGATCCTCCTGCCAAAAAATGTTTGTCTGCATCAAATAAAAACAATGCACTGTTTCTTCCTCACTTCAAATCTCTGGACAGATATTGCACAAAATATCAAGCAGAAACATACTCTTAAAATTCTCTACTCACAATAAGAAAAATATGAATCACCTTGAAAATTCTAGATTTTGCATACTTGTTTAGTTTCTATCTTACAAGAAAAAAGAAGAAGAAGAAAGCTGTCAGATTTACACAAGTTTGAGCAACCAAATCTTTTTTCAGAGGGTAAAAAAAATGGAGAGTGACAATTATGTGCAGAAATGAAGAGCAAACAAATACTTCCATTTCTACAAAAAATGTTTGTTTTCTCAGAATGTAAAGTGTAGCAAACAAAAAAATAATAGGTATACTATTTGCTAAATGGTGTACATATGAGGACCATCATCATCACCATCTTCCAATTCTTCTGGCTCTTAAATGTGTTTCACTTCATCTGCATATATTTGGGTCATCAAGCCCGACCAGCCACAGAAACTTTGTCTGCCTCATATGAGTCTTTATCCAGTCTCTCTCATGATATGAATCAATACAATTGGTTTTAATGCAATGGTGACCTCTGCCACCTAGTTTTTGTGGAGCAGAAGCATCCAAATAGATGCAAGTATCATATCAAGGACTACTGGGAAGGTGCAGGTGCTCTTCTCTTAGCAACACAAATTTGGTTAGTCTTCAATTAATTGCCAGCATATTTATAATCATTGCTGAAAGCCAAAATAGCCCTTTCAAAGTCTTCTTCCACAATGAATTCTGCCATGGTTGGTCATAGTAGATTCAGCTTGCACGCCCAACCCACAGGTTTTAGACTGCGCAACCATTCGTGAGAGAAGAGAGAGAGAGAGAGGAGAAGAGAGAGAGAGAGGGGTAAAGGCCATCTTTTTATTTCTTTGCAGTACGAATTGTTCATGCCCAAAAAGATTTCAGCTTTGAGGCCCATACCGAGAGAGACAAGAGAGAGAGAGAGAGAGAGAGGGGAAAAAGAACATCTTTTTATTTCCTTGCGAAAACCGTGTACTGATCGTGCCCCAGAAGACTTCATCTTGGAGGCCCAAACCCTTCTTTGCGAGTCTATTGTGAGTCTGGAGGAGGAGGGCTGTTTGGTTTTGTTCTTTTCCTCTAGCCTTCTGTCCACCTAAACCACTTATATTTCCCTCAGAAAAGGGGAGGAAAAAACCCATTCTTTCCTCTGTGGCGTCTCTCTGTATCTGTGTGTCTCTCTGTGTGCAAGCGATCTCAGGTGGGTTGTATCTGCGAGTTAGAAGCACTTCTCTTCGATCATGGTGAGACGCCATGGGTGGCAGCTCCCTGCTCATACCTTTCAGGTGCCTCCTCGTTCCAAACGCTCCCCGCTTTGCATTTTTGGGTTCGCTTGGCCCTCCAGATTCTCTGGAATATGGCTCGAGAAGGGTTGCAGTCTTCCAAAAACCCTTCTTGGTGCCCTTTTCTTTTGAGTTCTTGGATAAAGGAGGGTTGATCTCATTTCTAGGTTTCTTTTGTTATTCTTGAGCATTCTCGCACGCGCTCCAAGTTGGCGTCTTGGCTGTTGTTTTGTTCTTTTCCCGAGCATATGGATCTGGAAGCGTGTGCTGCCTGTTTCCGCTAAATTTTGTAGTAAATCTGCATACACATCCATTCCCGAGCTTTACTCTGTCTTCAGGTTAAATTGGGCCCTGTCAATGCTAAGATAGTATAGTCTTGCTTAATCTGACAGTTGTCTAATTATCTTGTTGACATTCTTTCCTTTTGTGTCTTCTTCTGTCTGCGCCGCCTCCTATTTTGTCTTGCTTTTCTTCTTGTGGAAATCCTAATTTCTGTTTGTATATATATTTTTTCATTGTTCTTATGATGCAACCGGATCAATGGGCTGTGCTATGACATCGAAGAGGCTCGTGCTTTAATATTCAATAATAGGTTGACAAACTTCTGATGGGGTTGACCCTGTGAAATCTTCCAGTTGATTATTTAATTATGTTGTATTTTCATTGATGTTGTCGTTTAGTTCTGCAGAAATCAATCTTGCACCTTTCTGCATTTGACATATTTCAAACAGTTTTGAGTTCAGAATCAATGTTGGCTCTAATTTCTACGAATGTGTATGACCTTAAAGTATCCCCACTGATTAATATGCATTTTGATGAATGTGCTTATTATTTGTTTTTTTTCTTAACATATACCAAGATAAGTTGATGTCAAGATTGATCATTACTCGTAAGACTTATACTTGTTGCTTTTTATGATGGATGTGTCCCTCGACCAAAACTCTGGATGTGTCCCTTTGAAGCTGATAGAATTCAGCCCCCACCTCAGCTGAGTGCTTGAAGATATTCCTAAGAGTCCTTTGTCCCATCTCCTGATGTTGTCCTGAATAACTCTGGGGAGGTAGGAGAATGCAGTTTGAACAGTGATGCCGAGGTGTCTGTGAGCATGACACAATCTCCCAGAATTTAGCATGCTCCTATCAATTTTCTCAAAATTGGAAGGGACAGATTTAGGCCTCCCCAAACCAATCACTTTTCAGTTAGATGCTTGCTTGTTAGAATTTTGCTCCTGTGTTGCATGCTTACTCCACATCTGTTGGACCCATGTTTTCATATCTTGCTGTCTAATGAAACAGCAGAAGAGATGAGTCACTAGATATTCTAACCAGCATTATGTTTTAACTGTGGTTATTTATCTGTGCTATTCGGCTTTGGAAGTTGTAAGCGATATCCAAATTCCAAACATTTTTGTTTGCAAGTTATGAAAATTGGATTAATGCTACTTGAAATGGCTATTACCAAATACTGGCTTCACTTCTGCTGCCCAACAAGGAAACAGGACATTAATTTGTCTAGTTGATTGTCAGACTATAAAATGCAATCATTGATCTCTATAGCTCCTCTTGATCTGTAAGTCGTACCTTCATGTTGTCAAACCTCGTTGATAGAGTCGTGGTTAAAGAGACATGGCTTTCCTTTGCTTAGAATAGGACAATCTAGTGCACAAACCTCGTTGAGATGTATAATTTCAGGTTTTTGATGCTTGTGGAGTGTTTATTTCGCCTCTTGCATTTTATTTACTTCTTATGCGCCTGATTAATTTTCATCAATTTAGTCCAACTAAAAGTAGCTTAAATGATTTCTTATGATGCATTAACTTGCAATTTAATTTGTAATTACTTTTTCACACTAGTAATGATTCTCTTATATCCTCTTTCGTAGGTTGTTGCCATAACAGTGTTCTTCCTTTTGGTTGTCGCATTCTATGCCTTCTTTGCACCTTTCCTTGGTAAACACATTTTTGAATATGCATCAGTTGCTGTTTACACTCCTGTGGTAAGTAATCTCTTCTTATCCCATGATAATATTATTGCAGCATATGCCTTGTAGAGATGTGGATTCTGATTCTAGTAATGTGGACTCATTGTTCCTTATCATTATAATTCAGGCAATTGCGGTTTTTATACTTTATGTACGCTGTACCCGCATAAACCCTGCTGATCCTGGAATTATGTCAAAGTTTGACAATGAATTCAAACATCAACGGAACAAAAATCCTGGAATGCCCAACGGAACCTTACCTTCTAACCATGAAAACAATGCAAGTGGAGCACATTCTTCCCCAACATCCGCATGTAGGAGCTCCCTAGATGGTTCTAATAGAAAAGTTTCAGCCATTGAAGATGCAACTATAAATATGTCAACTGGTCCACAAAGACAAAGTTCAGCTTGCTGCAGCATTGGAGGATTTATGTGTGCATTGTTTGTTAAAGAAGATTGCCGCAAACTTGAAGACACTGAGGAACAAGCTGGTGGCGAAGATGCTTTATTTTGTACATTGTGCAATTCTGAGGTATAGTTTCTTGATAATAAAATGTAGAACATTGCTACTCAAATTATCCAGTTCTTTCTGTCCTGCATCAGTTATGGAGATAAGTATGATCGTAACATTTGTGATTTCAGAGCATAAAGATTGTTTTGAATATTAAATTAGACTTTATCCTGCATGAAATTGATATTATGTTATTGATTCTTTCATAAAATTTCTCCTACCATGCCAGCTTAAAATCTCCTCCGCAAAAATTCCTTGTCTGCATTAGGAACGGACACCTTGTGTATGCTTATAGTCAAGTAGTAGGGGAAGCTAAAAAGGAGGAAATCGGACATGCTGCTGATTGCTTCTTTACAAATTCTGGATGCCAGATTGTTGTGGGGGTGAGTGGTGCTTGATAAGGTACGTCTCAGTTGGATAAGTCTAGGATTGACATTTCGGGTACTGGGGTCATGCTGGTCTATGGCTGGACCAGTATGAGTCTGCTGTGTGGCAGTATACCAACACACGGTATGTCGGCACAAACCATAGTATCAACTATCAAGAAGGGGTGGAAGAAACAGTTGATCACAAGTTTGTATATAGATGTACCATGTTTGAACATTTAAAGATGAAAATGTAAACATTT